ACAGCACTCATAGCCATCGAAGCCGTACAGCGCGGGAAGGTCCATACAAAACACGGCCCTGGTTGTCATTTGCGCTAAACTGGCCCAAATGGTAAAAAATGTGCGTCCCGTACGGTACGTAAGTGAGACCCTAGCCCGGGATGCTATTCGCTCCGGTCCGTACGATCTGGCCTGCCTGATGGAACAGATGCCGCAGACACCACGCCGAGACAATGGACGACGGCGAGATGAGAGCTTTCACCGCTTTCGCTGACCGCCGCAGACGTCTCCGCGAATTCATCTTTACCGGCGTGGAACGGAATCTTATGGCATAAGACGCTACTCTTCCTGGAACAGGCTAACTCGGAACGCATCAAAACGCTCACGACGAGGTTCCTCAAGATCTATGAGCCGAACGTATTCCTGTGTACCATCTCGTCGGCCATAAACCTCACGACCAAGAACGGACTATGGCGTCGCCCTTCGCGCAAATGGAGCACCGTCCTCTTGGACGAAGCTTCGATGATTCCGGAAGCCACCCTCATTGGTCTTTTCTCGAGGTTCCCGGACGCTACATATACGCTCGTCGGTGACAGTAACCAGTTGCCACCCTACATCGGCACACAAAGGGCACCGCTCGCGGTCACCCTTTGCTCGCGATCCGTATGGACGTCGCCCGACAATCCCCCAACGTGCAAGATCAGCAGCGTGTATAGACCGCATCCTAACATGATGGCGCTCAACTCGCATATTTTCTACAACAGCGAGTTGGTCTGCGGAACTCCCAAGGAGGCCCGCCTCGCGCTCCTCAACCGGGTATGAATGCCAAACCGACGGACCTACCGATCGCTTTTATCAACATCATCGGCGAATCGGTACAGTCGGTGACAGGTTGTCAGAGCAACCCGGTCGAAGCTCGCGCAGTTGCCGTGATAGTACGACTTCTTTTAGCGTCGTCCATCTCCGCGGACAACATCATGGTCATCTGCCTCTACCGAGATCAACTTTACCTAGTTGAGTCCGCACTAGAAGGGTCCAACGTTGCGGTCAAAACCGTGGATAGCGCGCAAGGTTCAGAAAAATCTGTCGTCATCGTGTGCACGACGCGCACCCATATCAACCCTAAGCGCAATCTCTCCTTCTTTGCAGATCCCAAGCGCCTCAATGTCGCCCTCTCCAGAGCTCGCGACGGTATGTTAATCATGGGTTCGGTTGTGCACTTCGAGGTCTGTCCTCTCTGGGGGGACCTAATTCGCTGGTGCCGGGAAAACCACCCGAGCGCACGGCTTCCTTCCAAAAAAGTGAAGGTGGTACCGAGGTCGGACTTTTGCAAAGGGGTGATGTAAAGGGTGGGAAGGGAAAATCATAATCTGTTCATTTAACTATCCAATTTCAAATGTTTTAGGTGGGCAGGGAGCGATGGAGTGCGCCAAACCCTAACTCATGGAATCGGTATGCTTTCGGTTTCTC